TTACTTATAAATGTATTATAATATATATATATATATATATATATATATATATATATATAGGAAAATGACCTTGTGAGACTATCCCACACCCATGTGTGTAGGACCTCAAAGGATCACCATTAAATTTGGTACACCTCTTTAGAAAAGTCAAGTGTCACACCCACAGTAATAACTTTTATAGATATTTGTGTCAAATTTAATAGTGATCTTTTGAAGTCCTACATACATGGGTGTGGGAGGGTCTAATAGGATTATTACTCATATATATTATAATATATATATTTATTATATATTATATAAATATCTTAGATTATATTATATTATATATTATATATATTTATTATAAGGAAAAGTTTATATAGAGCCGAGGCTCTAAACAATCAAATTAGAGCCTACTTCAAAAATTTCACTAAAAAATGTTGTTTGATGCCCAAATATCTTCAAATTGATCATCTAGACATCAAGATGCATGTATATGAGAAGAACATGGATTTCAAGGTTTGGAAATAATGTATTTTGTAACGCATTTTTAGATCGTCAATTTTCAAGACTTTCACGTTTTTATAAATCTATCAACCTACACTATTTTTGAAGATTTAAATTTTATAAATAAAGATGGAAATACATTTTAAGACTATCACAAAGGTTTCTATTATTGAAACCACATTTCTCGACAATATTTAAAGGTAAACTCTAATTTGATTGTTTATAGCCTAGGTTTTATACAAACCTAATATAATAAATATAGAGTAATGACACTATGAGAGCCTCCCACACCCATGCGAGTAGGACCTAAAATGATCATCATTAAATTTTGACACAGATCTTTAGAAAATTATCACATAGGTGTGGGACTTGGGTAAATGGATTGTTGATAAATTTTTCAGATATTTGTGTCAAAATTTAATAGTAAGCCTTTGGGGTCCTACTCACATGGATGTGAGAGGGTCTCATGGTATAATTACTCATAAATATATATTATATATAATGAGTAATGATTCTAAAGGACCCTCCCCCACCCATGTGTGTAGGACTCCAAAAGATCACCATTAAAGTTGGCACGGATCTCTAGAAAAGTTATTATATGGGTGTGGGACTTGACTTTTATATAGATCCATACCAAATTTATTGGTGATCATTTGGGGTCTTACACACTTAGGTGGGGGAGGGTCCTATTGGATCATTTACGATATATAATATAATAAATAATAATATAAATTATATTATTATGTACATAATATATAAATATCTTATATTATACTATATATTATATATAATATATATTTATATAATAAATATTTATTATATAATATACTATTTATATTATAAATAAAATATTTATTATATTAAATAAATATTATATATAATATAATAAATAATAATATAAATATTATATACATAATATTTAAATATCTTATACTATATTATATATTATATATTATATATAAATATGTTATATTTTATTATAATAAATATTATATTATATGTTATACAATACTTAATAAAATATAAAATATATTTTATATTATATTATATTATATATTTATATGGTTAATATGTATATGTTATCAAACACAATAACCATAACTTTCTTAACATTCTAGCAAGTTATCAAACACAATATTCCAAACTTATTTAAATATTTCAAAACAAAACATTCAACTTTCCAGAATATATCTTTCAGAAAATAAACCCACCTTTAGAATTAATTTCAAGATCCCAAATTTTGGAGATGTAAGATTTTCAACTTATAAAAAAAAATCCTAATTATATCCTCCATGTACTTAAAAAAATTAATATCTTAAGATTGAATAGAAACCATCCAATATTTTGTTGGCAAGATCTAAGTGTTAGAAAATTCAAAATTTATTATTTTTTTAGAATAAATATCTAGTAATTATTAAGTAGTTTCCAAAATATTGAAATTGAAAAAAAACACTCCCAAGTCCGTCTTCGTAGAAGTAAACTATACTCCAAGGGAGTATAATGTATGTGCTTATAAATAAGAGCCGGTGAGGTTGAAGTATGACTCACCTCTTGGAGATGTCATATCGATATCATAAATTTTATAGAGGCTTGAAAGTCCATTTTTATCAAATTAAAAAATTTTAAAATAGCACACAATGAAAATATCTATATACACTTGAAAATTAAAAAAATAAATAGTCTAGATAACTTGATGCAAGATACATTATTTTTATAATTTGATTTTTTTTTTCTTCATATTCACATATCTTAAGATTGAGATAGTCAGCGGGAGGGTTTTCCAAGATTGGAACTCTCTTTTATAGAGGACGTTTGATGTGAACCTTACTTCAATAGTATAAGATTGCAACATTATATAGAAGGAGGTCACATTTATTATTGACCATTACACAATGAAATTTGAGTGGTTGGGGATGTGCATTGATTAGGTAAAATGTCCGAAATAAAAGTTTTCAATTGTTGTGAGTTGGACACTTCAATCTTTAAAAAATTTCATCCAATGGCTAAAAGTAGTTCTGACGTCCTTGTAATAAAAATAAACGGTCTTATAGGAAAATTACACTGTGACAATAAAATCATTCGCTTTTGGTACAAGATGATCACAAATCATTTTTAGACATTAAATGAAATGAGGCGGCCACGGCTATTCTATTGGGTTTGTTTGAAATCCAAAGTATTTTTTTCCAAATTTACAACGAATATTGTACAGCCAATTTTGCATCTAACAGCTAAAATAACTGTGACCTCCTTGTAGTAAATATAAATGGTACAATCACATGTTATCGAAAGAAGAAAATTTTCAAAATATTAAATAAATTATACAATAGGTGGGGGTTACATTAGTTTATATTAGTTCTCTCTTCTACATACAAAATGTCTTCTACATACTCCCAAAAGGGCTCTAGAATTCAATTTCCCATCTTTTGTATACTATAGTTTCATTGTCATCCTTTGGCTGTGGATTTTGAGATACTATTCTTAATCTTCTAAATTACTTGCCTTTGTGTGATTTGTTTCTGGTGCCCTTTTGTTCTTCGGTTTCTTTTTCTTGCCAAATAACCCATATGATGGTCGTGAGTGGTACGTTATTTGCAAACTTCCTTTTAAACGAATTTGTTATAAGAAAACTTCCTTTTAAAAGAATATGTCATAAGTCTGGGAATACTTGAACCAGTAATTGTATTAGTGTTGAACCTCTATAATATTTCTTTATATACGCCCCTCAAAAGCATGCATGAAATAAAAATTTGATCATGATTGTTATTGTTACCTTTGCATAAATGGCATTTATTGACAAATTGGAAAGCTCATCTCGGCACTATTGGACTAATTGGTTAGATCAGGCAGATCATTGTCTTATTCAGTCTAGTCTAAAGCAAGAATCAAGTTTAATCAAAATCATTAATTAGTTAAGGGTGCGGTTTATATAGAGCCGAGGCTCTAAACGATAAAATTAGAGCCCAACTTTAAATAGGGTCAAGAAATATGGTTTTAATACTGGAAAGTTTTCTCATAGACATAAATTATATTTTCATCCTTATTTGTAACATTTAAAGCTTCAAAAATAGTGTAGATTGAGCAGATCTATGAAAATTTGAAAATATTGAAAATTGACAGTCAAAAAATGCATTACAAGATGCACTATTTATGAAACTTGAAGTCCATTTTTTTCTCATGTCCATGCATCTTGACGTGGAGATGATCAATTTGATGATATATGGGCATCAAAACAACCTCTTCTCGTGAAAGTTTTGAGGTAGGCTCTAATTTGATTGTTTAGAGCCTAATCTCTATACAAACTTTTCCCATTAGTTAATATATTAGATATATTTTGATAAAGGGTGCGGTTTGTATAGAGCCTAGGCTCTAAACAATCAAATTAGA